TATATCTCTCAGCTGGCCTGTGAACGCCTTGGTGTTCCCCCAGACAAGCTGGAGGAGGTGACTGGGGGGAGGGAGGTCTGGGCTTCTCTGCTTGGGCTGCTGCCCCCGCGACCCGGCCCCAGATAAGCAGAAGAAGATGGATGGATGGATGGATCAATGGGAATAATTTCACTTTAAACAGTTCAGATAATTTTAAGATGAAAGAGTATTATTTTGTTAGTACTTACACCAGATCAGATCTCTTCTGTCCGTCACCTTTTCCACATCAGTGACATCAGGTCCTGAGAAATCATCAGTGACCAGGTTTGTATTCCTGTAGTGGTAGATACTTCCTCCTTTGTATTTGTCATTTTGAATGGCTGTTATAAACAGTCTGCTGCAGTTTTTCACCGCTTCTGCCTTTTCTGTCATCTGCTTTATCACTTCATCTGAGCGGTACCATTGGTCCTGGGCAGGTGGAGTGTTACCATCAGTACCTTCCAGTTCCTTTTTCTCCAAGTAGTCAGACATGTTCTGCAGATATGGGTCAGTGGATTTCAGGGAGGTGAAAACAAAGCAGAGAACTTCCTCTACTCCTGGTTTAAACACCTCTCTGTCCAGCTCAGACTGATCTGAGATGATCTTTGTTCCCTCCATCATGTCTACAAAGTACCTGATGATGGTGACTTCTCTCTCTTCATCTTTGATCCACTTGGTTAATCTCTCCTGACTGAACGGTAACTTGTCTCTGTCATCAAACACGTTCACTAATTTCTGCTCATCTTCCTCACCTGCCCTGATGGAGGGAAGTTTCTCTGCCATTGTTTCCTGGAGTGAAGATCTGAAATACTGACAGAGCTTCTTGAATTTACTCAACTTTTCTTGTATCTGTGGAAAGCTTCTCACCACTCTGTCCTCCAGCAGATCATTGCATCTTATGTCGAGGTTATGAAGCTCCTGTAAGGTATCTTCAGCCTTACTAATAAATCCACTGCTTATCATGTAAGCAGCTTTTGGATGTAATTTCTTCAGAGGCATCAGTGTGACCTTCAGTGGAACACAGTTTTCTCTGTTTTCTCCCAGTAGTTTTGGAAGTTGGATGTATGTCTTCACTGCATCTTCAAATGTTACAGGGTTGCTTTCAAGGATGAAGTCTCCATAGAACCTGCAGGTGAATTTATCAGTCACAGCTTTTTCTTCATCACTCAGCTTGATGTCAACTTTCCCGTCAACATTAAATGAGGTGATCTTTTTTATTAGGATAGCTTGTATGCTATCCTGGATTACCTGAATGCTGCTATCATCTAACTTCTCACTGTCAAATACAAAGAAAGCATTTGCTCCATAAAGGATTCCTGTGACTACATGTGTCGCCAAACCTTTCACATTTTTTGCTTCTTGAGAGTTTTTGGTTTCATCAGGAGTCAACATCAGCTGTTTGAATTTAGTGGTAGCTTTGTAATGAAGTGTGACTCGACACTGATGATGTGATTTCTTCCTATCATTCAGATACTTGGCTGATCCTCCAACTTCAATGAGCCCACCCAGGAAACTGGCCTTCAGAGAACCATTAACATCCAGCAGTGACGACTTTTTTTCAATGGAATCCGTTGCATTGATGTGAAATTCACTGCTGTGCTGATTATGCTCCACTGGCTTCTTCTGCAGAGTTTTATTATTCCACAGTGTGACACCTTTAAGACACAAAATCCACAAAATGGAAAAAAGTCTTTAGAAAGTTTAGAAACGAAATAGATTAAAATTGTATTTCAAATGTACTAAAAAATGTAAAACTCAATTTCAAAACAGTTTTAGTGAAACTGTAACACTCATAAAGCTCTAGAGAGTTAGAAATCTCATGGTTTTTACTCTGCAAAAAACATGCTTCAAAGTTTTTATTCTGTTAATGTTTTTTGAGACAGAATCTATTCTGTTCTTTCAGAGATTTCCAAATGAATTAATCTTAAGGTTGTCTGTTCTTTAAAGGGTTTTTTTTTTTTTGCTCACCCTTTTCATTTAAACTATTATTTTCTTCATACAGTATTTCCATTAAATGGTCATCAATATTTCATTGCTGATATGATAAATATTTCTTTGATGCATCTACTTACCCTATAAGTAGATAGGTCATTTAAGAAACAAATCAGTGTGGGTTTTTGCTGGCCATACTGCTGATTGCTTGAACAACAAATCACATTTTACCTGGGATGAGTTTCCCTCTCCGGGCATCATAGAGCATCCCTAAACTGAAAGGTTGACCCAGAGCAGCCACCTCCAAAACAGATGATGCTCCTACATGAATAAAAACATGTGGTCATAA